AAAAAAAAGAAACTGTACTGAAAATAGGAATCAGGTTTCCATAAAGTAGGGGGGTGGTGGGGGCAGGGGGTGAAATACAGCAGTACAAGAAAATTATGGCAACAAAGTAAAGCACTTTCTTTGAAACATTCATGAACAGTACAAATACAACAAGATTTTTCTACTGTCTAAATTATTCTGCAACTATCAAATATAGTACAAAGCGAAATAGTATGTGCTATAAAAAAGCAGCTCCTTTAAATTATAGTAAAAATGCTTTTGTTCGCTTTACAGTGACAAAGCATGAAGAACGAAGACAAGAGTTTTATATTCAGTGACATTTTGGCTACATAGGCCCCTGACAGTCTTCTGAGTTCCTTTGCTGGGACTCTTCACATTGTTCTCTGGAGACACAAACGGACAATGACTCTGGGCTCTGCATGTTCGGTGGGTTCATTCCCACCAGGCAGCTAGCACGGTGCGCGGCCTCGACACCAGAGAGACGATGCAACCCTATCCTTGGTTTCAGCTTCTGTAACCTGGAACTCCACCAGACCAAGGAGCAACCAGGAGACCAAGGCCATAGTACCTTCCTCTTTTGAAATTGTGCGAGTGTGGAAAGGAAACTGGGCTGCAGCACCTTGTATTGTGACTCTTGGCTGCATTATGCATACCACACGCCATCAGCTTGTGTTTGTATGTTTATTTTGAATAAGACTATCCAAGGTCTCGAAGTCAACCAAACCTTCTCTAGCTCATCTCAGAAACACATACCACCACAAAGTCTTTATAGCAACCAGGCTCAGCCTCATAGGTTTGTTTTCAAGTTTTCTTTTTCAAACTAGACTTTAGCAGGGAAATATAACTATGGTGCTCAATTCACCAACATTTCTGCTATTCTCACGTGGGGGAAGGACATTATTTTCATTTTGGAAATGAATTTGCATCAGAATGTTCTTATTAACATGCCCATTAACTAACTAAACGTCTTTATACACCTCAGGCATATGCATATCATATAGGAGGGGGATTAGGGAATAGCGGTTATCTTCTCCCCCGGCTCCAAAAAGTGCTACTTACGGAAGTACATCCTCTGTGATTAAAAAAAAAAAAGTTACATGTCACATGTGCAGGCTCTATTCCTGATAGGGGATAGCATAGTGTCCAATTATTAGGATAATGCACACACTAAAATTTGCACATTCTACCACAATAACCATGTAGTAAATAACATACTCCATTTGCACATAGGCAGACACCTGTGGAAATCAGGAAACTAAGAACCTACTCACCTAATCCAAAGATACTGGCTTTTGTGTGTACACATGTATATTAAATGGACACTTGTAAAATATGACCTATTACTTACTTGCAAATTTTTCTTTCTTTCCATAATTTTTAGCCCAAAGATATTAATTTTTCAGTAATAAAAAGCATAGGCGAACATTAGGAATTTAAACTGGGCAGAAAAGAGCAAGGGCATAGACAAATTATGCTCTTTGGACCTGGGTGATAGAATCCATGCACCATCAACAGTTGATTCTCCCAACAGACTACGTGAAAAATCAAAACATAGAGAAGGACACTTTTCTTTATTCCCAGTAAGCAACTTCAGGCAGTGTTCCACAGTGATGGAACAGGTAACGGGCTATCACTTCAGCCTCAATTGTACCTCATATACAGAGTGCAAATGTTTCATAGACTGGAGCTTCTTCCAACACCGAGTCAGTTACTGATGTGGTAGTTTTCTGCTGGTGTAGACAGTATCTGACATTGGTAGGGAGGCAACTGAATTTGGAAGGAGTTGGCATGCAAGTGTCTGTATTTTAGGGGTGCTCCTCTGTGAGACTATAGCATGATCTTCTGAACCAAGATGATGTCAGAGCCAAGCAGACCATGGAGACCCCACGGGTGAGGCTGCCACCTCAAGGAAACCTGGCGCAGAGTGAACTAAGGATCCAATCCGCTGGGACTTATGCTGCATTCCTTGGCAAGGGCTGGATAAGCGCATTGCTCATTTTCTCAGTCATTAGTTAATTTTGTTAATTTTAATGTGGAAAACAGAAGTGATAGTACTGAAGCACCGAAATGCAGCCACAAAGCCAGGCCCTTCTTTGCTTTTTAAGATAAAGTATCTTTCACTATCAGCAATTTGTTAATAATAATGACGTCTCTGTCACCTAACAAAATTTGGCAACATCACAGTAATAAATATGGAGGGGGGGGGAAAAAAGTATACCATGGTTGAATACTATAAAAAAAAGTCACAAGTATTTCTTTTCTAGGAATGTAATTTCTGTTCATTCCAGTTAATTTTTAAGACATATCTTAAAGGAATGTCAAAAGTTTATGTTAAGATGATCCCATGTAAAAATATCTGTCATTCTTACCCTGGACAGATGACATTTCCCCCCATGTTTTTCTTTTAATTTTATAGCCTCAATCAATCAATGGGTTAATGGCACTCCACATTTTGTGCTCTGTAATCTGAAGTTAAATGGGCATCGTTTTGTTGTCTTTCATCTTCCCACAATGTGCATGTGCTTTTGAACTTGCTTTAGGGAACAGAGCCTCCTGAACCAAAGCTGTTCTCTGTGGCATGAGGGTGGCCAGAGTATGCCGAATGTAGCTCAAATACGCAACACTCAGGCTTTACTGGAGAAACACTGATGATATTTGTAAGATGCAGTATCCCTTTTTCAAAAGCAGTTCCACTCTCCCAAATTGGAAGAATGTACTGAATTCACCTAAGGGGAAAGAAAACAAAACATGCAGTACCTAGAACAGTTTTTAAAATGAGGGCTCTATCAGAGTAAAATCATGAGAAGGAAAAAAAAAAAATGTCCTGAAAAGTTTCAACACGTCAGCCGTCTGCAGTCCCTTTTATCATCAATCACACTTTTAAAAAGAGGGGTCAACCTCTGCAAAGCTGGGAGCCAGAGTGTACTGGAGTCATCAACAAAGAGCTATGATTATTATCCCAATTTTTATATCGAGTAATTGTATCAGAATGAATAGAATGGAACACTATTTATATGTGTTTGCATACACAGCCTTTTACTTTTAATTTTAGGGCACTTTTGTTGTGTTGTTTTTAAGTACTTGCTCTTAAAAGCCACACATGCAGCTCTGAAATCCTCTGGGCCTATGGCTCTCTGTTGGCCAACTGATCTTACAGTATCAGGTGTCAAAGGGCTCAAACCAGACTGGGCACGAGGCCCACACTGCAATTCAGGCCTAAGACACATTTCACTACAGTGTGTGTACAATGTTCAAGGCAGAGGCAGATTTTCTGCCAGTCTGTGAAAAGGGTCAACAGGGAGGAAAGAGAATAAGGACAGTGGAGCTCATTGATGACACACCTCCTTTAATGTATCTTTTGTGATATGAGTAAATACAAGGAATCGCACATTTAAATCAGATTCCCCTTTCCAAGTATGACTTAATCACTGTGGGAAAGGCAGCTCCCGAAGAGTCAACTGTGAAAAGCCTTGCTATAGATAATGGTTAATCTGGAGAAGAGTGCATACCCACCTTAAATCACTTTTACCATTTTCTTTCTATAGCTGCATTTCTGGTAGTAATTAAAAATGTCCTTTTGCTAGCTACACCTAAATTAAAACAAATAAACAAAAAAACCCAATGGGGTAGTGGCCTGTATACACATGGATGGAAATTTTCCAATGTTGGGGATAGCAACTAAAGATGCTAAAGACATGCCGCTGAGCCACCCGGATTGGATGTGATCTCCCCTTTCTGAGAAATGTAAGGAAAGAGTAATCCCGTGGAGAGAAGATAACCTGTTCCAAAGTAAAATAAATTAGCACGCTAGAAACCACTGAGTAATTCAATTTGTTGTTGCTGACGATGTTGAGCTTTTTTCCCATGTTGAAAAGGGATACTGCATCTTTCATTTAGCGCTTATCGCACAACCAGGCAAGCTACACAGAGTTTGGAAGGTCCTATGCAGTCGTCATGGCAGAAGGCCCCACAGCCTTTGCACACAATCATGGCTTTCAGCCGGCAAGAGCATTTCAGTTCCAGTTCATCCGTGTTGCTGCTGTCGGAAAAGTTCTGCGTGGGCATCTGAGTGTTCTGGCCAGGCAGGCCCGTGGCGGGGCTGGAGCCACTTCCCAAAATCCCAATGGACTTTTCAATGGCAGAGGCTGCCCTTTTGAAACTCGTGCTACCAAAGTGTATTGTTGGATAATTTCCACAGAGCTGCTGTTGTTGCTGCACCTGCATTTTCTGAGCAGCTAATTGAGTAAAAGGCTTTTGTGGCTCAGAAAGCAAATAGGAAGAGAAATCTGCATTTTTTAGCGCAAAGGCTTTTAACTGTTCCTTCATTTCATTCTGGTCATAGGAAACTTGTTTCATGCCCAGTTCACAGCTGCTGCCTAAACCTTCCTCAAAAGAAAGAGGTTCCGATTTTATATTGCTACATATGCCCGTGGACTGTGGCCAACTAAGTCTCTTAGTGGTTTCCATGGTGACCGGAGGTTGTTTTTGATCCGCTAGGACTTCAGCATTAGGAAGAGGTGGAGGTAGTGGAGGTGGTGGTGGGGGAGGCGGGGGAGAAGGGGAGTA